CTGAGTATAAGTCGCAACCCAATCAAATCAAAAGATGAAAAAAAAGTGCAACTTATAGTCCAGAAAATATGGTATCTCAATGACTCAACAAATCCAATGAATTGAGCCTAACCCTGCCACAAGAAACACTGACTTATTACTACACACTTGTGACTATGTGAATGACAGTCACAGTGTGATCCTGAGTTTCAAAGACCTGGAGCAACAACAGCAGAAAACCACGTGCTTCAACCTTTACCCTTAAGACTGAGTGAACAGACCACCCCTCTCACCCGTGCCCCATCTCCTCCTCTCATTTTTCTCTGTGCTCTACTCAGTGATATATTCTCTTTTTCCCTCACAGCCATGTATATCCGTTGTTTTCTCTTCGTGTAGTCGATTGTGTAGGACGTTAAGTACTGGCTGAAATACACGTATGATTCAACTCGGCTCACACGTGTACTGAACACACCGCTGTCCGCGGCAGCAGCACCAGATAACAGCGACAGACGGCGTGTACGATCACATGCACGTCCTTTGCTGCTACCATGTGGTCAATAGTTGCACTGCAGATGTGAAGCTTAGATTTCTTACTGGTTTAAACGTCAACTCGTTAAAATAACATAATAATAATAATAATTATTATTGTTAATAATAATAATTGTTATAATAATTATAATAATATAATAAAATTATATAATAAAAATACAAATAAAAAAATAAAAATTATATAATAAAAATATAATTGTTATAATAATAATAATAACAATAATAATAATAATTATTATTATTATTATTATTATTAAGGTCTTAAGGGTAAGGTTGAAGCACGGTTATTGTTATAATAATAATAATATCAATAATAATAATAATAATTATTATTATTATTATTGATATTATTATTATTATAACAATAACCGTCGTGCTTCAACCTTACCCTTAAGACCTTAATAATAATAATAATAATAATTATTATTATTATTGTTATTATTTTACTGATTATTTACACACAACACACCACGGTGCACAGGAAAACGTTATTAACAGTTGATTGATAGCTTTAATAAACTTTTTTTTTTCAAAGACCACAACACCTGCTATTGCATCCTCTGCTGCACTAAACCCTCACTATTAACAATCACCATTTGCTCATACATTTCCAGCTCTTTAGAAAACAAAGAAATCTAACCAAGAAATGAATCCTGCGTAGCGACTCTCTCGGTTTCTGTAACTTTAGAACTGCAGTACCTGATCCAGACCTGACTCTGTGTTTTGTTATCAATGTTATAGTGTTATTTATGAATAAGCTCTAACTCAGCACAATTCCCTATTAATACACATGTCTAACAGCACTGATAAAGTTCTTTGTCTGCACTTACTCTCTCACCTCTTTTCTCTCCTATATATCCCTTTCACTCTTAGGCATTGAACGCGTCAACAATTTGTTTGGATCTGCTGGAAAGTTGTTCCTGTTAAAAGAAAATGATCGAATTTGCTGGAAAAAGGTCGCTGACAGCCGCTAGAGGGCACTGGTGTGCGACTTATATACGTTTTTCTTTCTTCTTCTGCATTTTTTGGCTGGTGCGACTTATAGTCTGGGGAAATACGGTATACATGTATAGTGCAGGAAATGGAACTGTACTGAAATAATTCTGTATTGGATTAAACTACTACCAGAAGAATCAGTGTAGAAGGATGTCTGATTTTTTTTTTTTATTTATTGATTTTTTTTTTTTTTCAATTTTATTGAAAACTCTGCAACACTTCAGATGTTTTTTTCAAATTATATTTTAAACAAATACCACACAGTGTATAGTTTAGATCCAAAAGGTCAGGCTATATAGGAATGGATGTCCCTCCTTTCTGGATGGAATACTTAATTGTAATGACAATTACCACACAAATAAAAACTCCGGATGATTCCTTTATGGCATTTATAGAATTAAAATCCTAAAAATCTGCTTATCATTTAATGTTTAAAATAATCTTATCTTTTTATTAAAGTGTTGAACAGGGATTGAACATAATAACTAATGGCTCACCGGAGCTCATTGTTGGACTATAAATAAATTCAAAAAATAGATACAGTGTGTACCACAATCAGCCACAAAGCAGACATTTTTAAAAAAAAGTTGACTCGGTCCTGTGTATATCTATGAGCTATTTTTTTTTTTTTAGAAGTCCTAAAGAAATATAAAACTTCTTCAAGCAATTTCCTCATGTTTTAGTCTTGACACAAATTTTAATTTAAAATTCTGTAACATTAATACTTAACTTTTGTATAATTTCAACTATACACAGTGTAAAACAACCTTATTTTTTGGGTAATGTGCAGCCATGTTGTGCAAGAATACAAATTAAAATGGCAACCTAATATTTTGCTGCCCATCCGGTAGGCGAATGTGAACTTGTTTTTTCCTTGTTAGTATTAAGGTTGCAGGTTAAGAAACGGAAGAAACTTTTTTTTCCCCCCACTAAAACAGGATGAAAAAAATCATTTGGAACAAGAACAACTTAAAGTATAACAGGCTACCAGAGCAATGTAAATATATCTGGCTGAACAAAGAAAAAAAAGAGTGAATGTGCCAACACCAAATATGTAGCTGAACAAAGAAAAAAAAAAGAGTGAATGTGCCAACACCACAACAAAGGTAGAGTAAACATTAAACGGAAATATCGTTCAAATAAATGAGAGAAATAGAGGGTGTGGTCTAAACATTTTTTTATCACGTGTAGGTCTGATCTTGGACAAAGCAGGACAATTTTTTTTCTTTCTTTCTTTCTTTCTTTAGTTCAACTTACAGTTTGCGACTTTTGTTAGATACATGCGATGGTAAACATCTGGAAACACAATGGATTATTTATATACGTAGATTGGATTTAATGTGCAAGTATTTAAAAAACATCTCCATATCGATCTATTTGAACAAACGAGACAGAAACTCAACATTGCAACACTTAACAGTTCACAATGAAAAGGCAAAAAAAAAAAAAAAAAAAATAGGATTCAAGATGCATTTCACACTCAAGAACTTGAACCAGGAACCGAATGGACGAACTGAACGAACTACGTGAAAACAATGGCGCTGTTCTTTCACCCTGTGCAAGTACATAAACCGCTGGCGTGGACCTTACAGCCCATACCTTCCTGATTGTTTTATGAAACTGTCACATTAACTGGCAAGTTTCAGGTCAAAATAACGGAGAGCAGGAATTAATCTATGGAATAAAATGACTCCTCTGAAAAGAGAAGGGCCAAAAAGGAAAGAGACTTTGTAGGTGTAGGCCATATTGCAGGCTTTATTTCAAATTACTTGCCAGTTTTTTGTTTTTTTTTTGAAACCAAGAAAAATAATTTCCTGGTCTGGCCTCACCATGCGCTCTTAACAGGAAGAAAACCAGGAATCATATGCCTAGCAATGATTTGTACCTCCCCCTCATACATAGTCCTTATTTGAAAACGCTGGTCGACAGGAGCTCGCGTGACTGCTGCTCGCATCTTTAACGTGTAAGCGTAATCTTCTGTGCTGTTCAAAGTTTACCACGAGTGTACATTGCTGAAGGAAAATGAGAACACGCATTGGACAAGCTACACAACCGGTGTAGGAAGCCTGCAGATTGACTGCCTGGTAAGTCCTTAATTCATTTATTAAATTCCACATTTCATTCATTTGCTGTAAATGTTTTTTCATATGACAATTTTTCAATAACTGATGGGCCAAAAAATAAAATAAAAATAATAATAATAATAAATCCACGTCTATACGTGACGTGGAGACAAATTTGAGAAACCAATTTCTGTAAAACTCTTGGGAAGTTTGAGGAAAAAAAACAAACAAAAAAATCTCTTTTTTTTTTTTACCTTATCCTGGTCCTAACATTTCTTACACAACTCGGCTATAGTTAGTACTGGAAATGTTGCCATGACATAAATTTAAACTCCAACCATAAATCCTTCCTCGTGTGGAACTATTCAACAGAGTCCTACACCCTTCTACTGTTTAAGAACAAAATACTGAATACCTAACAAACAGCTGTAAGAAAAGAATGGTCAGTGTGAGTTGAGGCTAGCTGCCGGTTTTTTCGGGAATATTGGCTCAGAGTTCTAATTCCGAACACACATCATATTAATACAAATATTATTTTTAACCACTTCAGCGGTCACACTCATTGCTTACTTAGGTTTGGACTTAAAAATACCACGGCCGCTGCTCTGGAGTCCACATGAAGAAAACGGTGGCGTCCAGTCCAGTAGTTTAGCCACAGAAGGTTCTTCTGCTGCGATGTACAAGGTCTAAGGTCAGCTGTGAAGTGTTGGTCATTGCTAAGGCTTCCTGTGGTCTTGGTTAAGTCACTTGCCTGCATTAGCGGCTCAGGAGGAGAAGAAGAAAGAGCGAGGTGTCACCGTTATGTTCATGTTTGACCATTTGGTTATTTTGTTCACACAAAACAAGTTCAGTTCTAAGGGTTAAATGTTGTTGTTTTTTGTTTTTTTTTCCTTTTGAGGCTCCAGATGGAATAAAGTAAAAATGAAAAAAATAAAATAAAATCCTCTCCATTTAGCACATCTGGAGAAATGAAAATTAAACCAGAATGAAAGAAACAGGAGACAGGAGAGGAGAAACTGTGGATGAAGAATGGCGATTGGCAGATGAGTTCACATGGTGCGTTTTTTTTTTTTGGGTTGCTGACTAGTTGGTGTGACCGTCCTGGTCATTTATTGTCGCTACTGCCGTTGACTCCGACTGCGAGGCAACGTTAGCTGGGGCGACCTCACCGCTGCTGTCTGTTTTGATGCGTTTGGCATCTGTCTGCTCGCTGGGCTGCTGCTCGCCATTTTGACGCTTTGTAGGGAGGGAGGCAGAAGCAGAAGCGTGGTCAGCCAGCAGGTGGAGGGGGTTGGCCATGGCAGGAGCTGAGGAGGAAGAGGGATTAGCGGTCAGGGTGGCAACAGTTCAAACACTGGGGGGAAAAATAAACTGGGTGTGGTTTCTGGTATTAGCATCCTAGCAGCCACTGTCAAGCAGCACGGTTATGATTAAAATCCAACTCTATGAAAGTATATTTGGCTTAAAAAGGAAAAGGAAAGTCAACTACCGTATTTTTCAAACTATAAGTTGCTCCAACCAAAAAATGCATAATTTAAAAAAAAAAAAAAGTCACACCAGTGCCCTCTAGCGACTGTCAGTGTGAAATTATATATTTTAATATATAGAAGTTGCACCTGAATAAGTCACAAACCCAGCCAAAGGATGATGAAAAAAAAAGTGCGACTTATAGTCCGGAAAATATGCTACTTGTCATTGTGACACCACGAAATGTGACCTCGCAGCTTAAGCACCCAGGGAGCAGTGTGTGGGGACGGTGCCATGCTCAGAGCACCTCAGTGGTAACTTGGCAGCTGGTGGACTCGAACTCGAAACCTTCTGGATCCACATCAATAACCACCAAGCCACCACTGCCACAAAAACGTTCGAAATCACGACTGGTTACGTTCACAATTGTAATCAATCCAAAGCTAATCTGTGATTAATAATAATAATAAAAAATTGCTAGCATTAAGTGCAATTTAAATATTTAGATTTAAATTTAGTCTTACCTTGAGTGGCAGTTCCTGTGATGGCAGTGGTGATACCGTGATTGCCATTCTGTGTTATAGCCCTAATTGGCAGCTGGTGCTGACCCATAGGGGCCTGTTGTACTATGGTAACAGTCTGCATGGCTGGGGCTGACTGGGAGCTCTGTATAATGCGACTGGAGCCACTAATCGAGGTGATGGTTGGAACCGTCTCCACTTTAACTAGAGAAAAAAGAAAAGAAAGAAAAAACATTAAAATTAAGTATCAATTCAGTCAGCATTAGAACAGTTTTCTCACGGCTAGTAGTGAGAATATTTTTGTTATGTTTTGACTCAACAGCAAACCGAGGTTTGTGTTGTCACTTTGCTAACTGCTTTTATGTCCTTCAAAAAAAGGTGATCAAAGACGCATCCACTACTTGAACACGGAGCGATTTCTGATCCAGATGCTGACAGATTGACAGTTGCTAACATCGAGTTAAAGCAGTGGATCAAAATTTAATTTCTGTTTATGCCCCCCCCCACAGACACCAAAATGTGCTGCCACCTAGTGACTGGAGGCTTGTTATCATTCAAGCATTACAGCAGTGGTACAAGCGTGCCATTGGGCTTACATTTTGTTCACAACACTTTACAATTTTTTTCCCAAATACAATGATCCTTTTCTTTGTAAGAACTATGCAAAAATTTGAAATTGTTATCTTCTGAATCACGGCACATCACCATTTATCTCCCATTAGTAAAAGTCAATCTGATCTGGTCATATTTACCTCGCTAACTGTTATATATATATATATATATATATATATATATATATATATGAAACGACAACAGAATATATATACATATATATAAAAAATAATATTTGGAAAGATTTCCTTTCTCAACAGAAAGACTAACAAAATATTGTTGGCGTCTGTGGAAGAAGTTTCCCACGTTCTGTTTTAACACTTGAATGCAACTTAGGCTATGCAAACAACTCATACTTACCTGGCAGGGGAGATACCATGATCAAGAAGGTGGTTCACCCAGGGCGAGGCTTAGCCATTGCACTCCGGCTGTGCTGACCCCTGCGAATTCCCCAAATGTGGGAATCTCGACTGCATAATTTCTGGTAGTGGGGGACTGCGTCCGCGCTCTCCCCTGATATACTTGTGGAACATAAATAATACAGAAACTTAACAGTAGTGATGTTCGATACCACCAATTTCCTTTCCGATCCGATACCGAGTAAAATTCGGGCTGGTATCGCAGATACCGATATCAATATTTTATCATTTGTCTTTTAAATAAAAAATGTGTATTTCAAATCATAGCTTCTTTAAGAATCCGATAATCCAAGGTTTTTTTATTTATTTATTTTAAACTCTGGAGTGTACTGAGGTAGCTGCCTCATTTACTATACAGTCAACACAACAATAGAAAAACCTGAGAACACAATCATATAAAATATGTCAAAACAATGTTTCAAACTCTGAAAACATGTTATTTGTAAAACAAAAAAAATAAATAAAAAAATAATCTGAAGAGCCCGAAAGAGTCGGATTTTTTCAGTGTACCGAGCCAAAAGAACCGGTTCTCTAAAAAAAAAGAGACGAAATTTCCATCAATAGTGACCGAGTGAGAGCACGGAGTAGAGCCCCTGTGCTTACGCATGACGCACACGCCCAGGCGGAAGAAGAAGTAGTCCCACCAACCGAGCGTCACTTAGACAACATCTCAATCATTTGGATACTTTTCACCATGTTTCTGTTTAGGATACACCTCCTCTCAGAATGCGTAAGTATCAAAAGTATCGATATTTTGATTTCAGAATCGATTTCAGAGCATAAAGATCCAGAATCGCAAGTATCGATATTTCAGGATCGATCCGCACATCACTAGTGTGAAGTCTTATGGTATGGTTGTTGTAATCAAAAATAAATGTTTGCATCCCTACAGACCTTTGACCTCTGTGTGCTCTCCATTCTCCTGTGGCTTGCCCTTTAGGATGGTGGCTGGCTGGGCAATGACTTTGGCAGGGCTCAAGGAAGTGGCAGGGATCTGCTGCAGGACATGTACCGTCTGGACAGCAGGCTGTGAGGCGCTGGTGCTCACTGGGGACGCCATGGTGTAAGTGACTGGCTTGATGGTCTGAGGTAACTGACGCTGGACTGCAATGAGAACTGGCTGGTTGCCAACAGGGGATCCTGGAAGAATGCACATGAAGATCGTTGTAAGAAAACAACTGACAAAAGACGGGACAAAAAAGTCCACGGAGTGGTCAAAAGTCACCAACCTGCTGTGTTTTGTGCAAAAAGTGCTTCCTGGATGACTGCCAGTTTGGGCTGCACTGCTGTGGTGGTGGTTACTGTAGTGGGAGCAGAGGATGCCTCAAATTCAAGTGGGACCGGGGAGCCCTCCCGTGACAGGCTGTCTGGGGTCTGGATGCCGCTTGAGTGAGCGGAGAGCACCCCTGAGTGGTTGGGTGAAGCTGGTGCACTCCTAAGACAAATTAAAATCAAACATTTTGACTAGGTCTGAGACATCAACACTGATCGTGGATCTTTTCTCGGGTGAAAATTGAAACAAATTCTAAGGTTAAACTTCAAACAAAAGTATATATATTTTTCCCTCTTAGATAATTAAGAATATAATTTATTATAAAGAAATATGTTTGCAGTCTTAATACACTCCAGGCAAATTTGACCCTAAAAAAAAATTTTGGAGAACATACATTTATACTCCAGCATCACCAAGGTTTGTTGGTAGAAATGTGCTTCGTGTCCGTAATAACGTAATAATAATTTACAAACCAGTTGTGTACTGAGGTCATTTCAACAGAAACAGCACTGGTTTAAGTTACTAATGACCTACTCATGGCCTCACATAATGGACTGAAGGTATATTAGCTCAGGGGTGTCCAAACTTTGTCGGCTTGGGAGCTCCTTTTCAAATGACCAGAACAAAGTGATCCTACCTACATTGCTAATATTAAATATATTTACCCCATATTAACTGAATATACTTTATATAAACATGATATGCTGATTAAATAGCTCTAATTGCATGGCACAATATGATTCAATAATTGTATTGTATTGTGTACTTGTTTGACACAGATTTCCCGAACAATGTTATAGTAATAATAATAAAAAAA